TTGTGCCAGAGTCGTAGGACGCAGTCGCACCTCAGATCGTCGACCACGAATGGCACGCTGTGGACTCAATGTTGAAGTCGGAGAGGAAGGGCAGCTGTCGCGTGAGGTCGGCCCGCATGGACGCGGAGAGGATTTGGGGAGAGGGTGAGGTGGAGGTGTGCGCGGGCGATGCAGAGGACCCGCCGGCGTTGAATGGCAGCAACGCGAGGATCGAGTTCATCTTCTCCTCCGTCTGCGCTAGTCGGCGCTCCACGGTCTGGTAAAACACCGAAATCTCGCTCTTCAGCTCCTGCTTGGTGCCGCGCACCTCCTCGAGCAGCGCCTTCAGCAGCGCATCGCCCTCGCGCTGCTTAGTCGTATGCATGCCCAGGTCGGCGCAGGAGCTGCGCGGAGAGTGTGTGGGCGATGAGTCCGGCGAGGGCGGGTTCGACACAGCAGTCGTTGACGGCAGAGGCGGCACTGCACACAACGGGCGGTGAGCTTAGCAGGCAAGAACTGAGAACGCCCGGTAGGGGTTCGCGCGTGGGCGGTAGCGCTAGAAGCTTCGAGCGAGTATTGCCTTTTTAATATTGGATGAGGCGGGAGGTCGAACCTTCGGTCTTCTGCTTCTTGGACATCCTCCAGCCGCCCTCGGTGGAGGCAGGGAAGTGCTTCGGGGGTCGGCCGCGCTTCTTGGGCTCGACATCTTGGCACAATTCGGGCTTACCGAGCGCCACGCAACGTCTGCAGGGCCGAGCTCTGTAATGGGGAACCCGACTGATGAGTTAATGGGGAACTGCCACGGAGGAGAAGGATGAAGGAGGGATTAAATCATACTCGAATTGTAAATGAGCAAAAAATAATCCGAGGACGTTTTCCTCTGCACAGGCAAAAGAACAAAAAGAACAAACAAATACCGTACCCATCGCAAGCAGTGTGCGAGAGGCGGCACAGGCGACAGGCCTTGTTGGTACAGTCCGAGGCCATCTTGGGGGAGCGTAATTAGCTTCAAGATTGGCGGCTTGGCTGGCGGTGGGTACGTTGGGGGCGCTGTGCGGAAAATGAGACCGAAGAAGCAAACCCCCGCGGAGACTTTGAAAAGAATTTTCCTACGGCCCAATCGGCATTTGTTGCGCCATGATCGGTTTTTACTAGGGATCGATATTTCCGTGTGGGCGAGACCCCCACGTGAGCCTAGGCCCATTGGCCCAGATCTTTCCGGTCGACGTCAGATGTTCACCGAAAAGTGCAACCCCCCCAAAAAAACGAAGTTAAAAAGCAAAGAGAAAGAGTGAAGAACAAGCAACAGCAAGCATGCGCACGCTGGGGGAGCTCGCTCTGCTTGTCGGGCTTGAGCATGCACTGCATTGCGAGTCCTTCAAGGACCTTCCCTCGGGAGTACAGGTGGGTCTTGCCCTTCCCCCCCAAGCACCAGCCACGCGTGCGGTCCTAACGCTGTGCCCTGCGTAATTCCCCTTCTTGAATGACAGTTGCGCCTGTGGGAGGAGGTGACGCCAATGGTGCCCATTACCGCCGCGTTGTTGCGCAAGTTTGACCTCCACCATCTGTTGGAGGACAACCGGACGCTGGGCGGTACCGACCACTGCCACAACAACGCCCCCTCCTCTTTGCTGACCATGGGTTGGTGGGGCTGGTCGACCACACAGGAGCGAGAGGGGTTCACCGCGACGCACTCGAGCTGCTGGGCCAGTACGAGAAAGAGCAGCGACCCAGTG